GTGTAGTTGCAGGCTTAATATCATTCATACGGTTTTGAACCAGTTCTAGATACAGTGATGAGATTTGAATCTGCCCTTTGTCTAAATCAACCAATCATTAGGATTGTGCAGAGCACTTGACTTTGATGCTGCACAACTTGCTAGAAAACAAGTGAAATACCTATCCACAGAATATTAATGCAATTAGAACTTTTGCGAGGTTTTTACAGCTGTTTTGGAAGTGTGTGTGTGTATGTGCAGATGTACATGTACATGTGCACAGCAGTTCATTTAGCCATGATTTGAAATGGAAAGGGTGTTTCATTCATGCTTCAGTGCATTGTGAAACACTAGTTAAATGCTTTGCATAGCCTTGTTAGAGATGCTTTTCCATCAATTTTATTTATCAGATATATTGTGTATCCTTCCAGGATAGTGTGTAATGTGGTAGATTTTCCTTTTTTAAAGCCAAAGAACATCATTTCAAAAGAACTAATTGAATTTGGAATTAGCATCATTTAGTAATAGAGATTAACTCTGACCTATTGTTTTTTGTCAGTGGAAAGACAACCACAACATTATCTTTTAATTTTTGAATTTTTATATTTCAAAACTTGAAATTCCTACCATTTCTGGTTATCAGGACCCAAGCCTAGCAAGCAAAGGAAGAGAAAAGGATAGGCATAAAAAGTGAGAGAGGTGATGGCAAAATTAGAACAAATATCAAGATTTGTAGTATTAAGAGATCTTTAGCTCTTATGACTGTCTAGGTATTTATTTATTTTATTTATAGGCTGGCTAACTCCCAGATGACTTTGGAGACTAGAATTAAATACCAGCTTATTAAAAGAAAATATAAAAGACCAGAATACTAAAGTGACAAACAAAACAAATAACCAAAAGAAAAGAAAAGAAATAGATGTTTGACATGATGTAGATTTTCACTCAGGTATTATGTGCCTCATGCCCCAAATATCAAAAATAAATTTAATACATGTTTTTAATACCAGATTGTATAATAGCAATAGCACTTAGACTTATATACTGCTCCATAGTGCTTTACAGCATTCTCTGAGCGGTTTATAACATCAGCATATGCCCCCCCAACAATTTGGGGCCTCATTTTACTGACCTGGGAAGGCTGGAAGACTGACTCAACCTTGAGTTGGTCAATATCGAACTCATGCAGAGTTAGCCTGCAATACTGCATTCTAACCACTGCACCACCCTAGCTGTATACATGTGCTGCCAAAACTTCTGGAATCTGGTCCACTCCATATGTGTTGAGACGCCATCTGTGTTGAATTCACAGTTAGCTTGACTGAAGAAAGTTGGAGGACTTGTACAGTAGAGATGCTTTTAGGAAGTTCTGTGTGATGATGGCATCTGAAATATATGATTTTAGTTCCTTTGTATTCTGTCCAAAGTTACTTGCCATGACCACAGGTTAGATAAATAAATAAAATAAAAAAAAATCAAAGATCAGGAAAGGATGGTTTGATCAGAAGACCTTCTCAGAAGATGATGCCCTCAGCAATGAGACTCTTTATGTACTTCCTCATATTAACCATTTTCTCACAATGCATAATTTGCGGTTTTGTTTTTAAAGCTAGTTTATAGGAAACAAAACCATTTTAATGGGCCAACCAAGATAGTAAAACATGATTATAATAGAGTTGTTGCAAAGTACGAATTTATGTCAAGAATGTTAATTATTTGTTTATGAATATGTAAAACAATATATAACAATTGCTGAATAAGCAATTTCTGACAATCCATGAACTAAGTAAATCTGTATATTGGTTATAAACTCGGCTGGAGATGTTACCTACCCTGGTAATGAAACCTTTGGAAACCAACCCACAAGCTCGGAGAACAAGCCTTTTCTCTCTCTCTCTCTCTCTCTCTCTCTCTCTCTCTCTCTCTCTCTCTCTCACACACACACACACACACACACACACACAAAGCTTTTACTCAGTCTGTGCAGAGTAAGTAGCTGTAGGTCATATATACATATTTTTTATAGCTTTTTCTCTTAAACTAGAAGGAATAATTATTAACATCTACGTAACTTAATATAATGAAATTGCATGAAAAATAATCATTAAGTATCTGATAATTTTTAAAGCCTTTAATAGCTTTTGCTTATAAAAACAGCACTCCAGATACATAGCAAAATTATCTGCTTTGAAGTTTATTAACTATAAATGATTATAAACTTTTAAGACTACAAACTGCAAATCTCATTAAAGCAACCTGGAACTTTTCCAGAACAGAGCTATTCTCTTCTATACCAGGAACCTGCCTGCAGGAATCAATGAGCAACAGGAGAGGCATATTCCAGGAAATTGGTCATTTCAGCAAAACCCTCATGTGGTTGGCTTAATCATGAAATGGGGCTGCAATTGTAACTCTATATTTTAAGCCATAATTATTAAGGAAATACTGGGATATTTTAGAGTTTTGCAACTCTTGTCAGTATGCGGGTATACTAATATCCATTCTCTGAAATGTAAGAACAATTATGTATAAACAAGAAAACTAGATGCATCTTTGATTTTACAATCAATATAGTTATCCTGTAAACCAGACATGTCAAACTTGCGACGTCACATGACGTCGCTCAACGTATCAGAACTTTTCCCCCATTGCCAGCAATGGGGTGGGCGCGGTTTCATCGTGACATGTCCGGCCTGCGGACCGGCAGTTTGACACCCCTGCTGTAAACTGTGAGTCTGTGTTGCTAATTCCTGGACTAGTTCCTGACAGTTGGAACAATTAACCAATGGAACAACCTACTTCCAGAAGCGGTGAATGCTCCAACACTGGAAATTTTAAAGAAGAGACTGGACATAAAAAGCATGTCATAGCTAAATATATAAATGCTTTAAAATTCGGGTTTTTTATTTCTAGCCTCCCAAGGTGCAATATAAAAAAATCCAGTGATATATATAACAGATATGCCTTTATTATTTTGTCTGAAATGGTGTAGGGTTTCCTGCCTGAGCAGGGGGTTGGACTCGATGACCTCCAAGGTCCCTTCCATCATCATCATCATCATCATCATCATCACCACCACCACCAATAATAATAATAATAATAATAATAATAATAATAATAATTTGAATGATTTACAGATAAGTAAAATTGTATACTGCCTGGATATCCATTCTGCAGTTGAATTGAGTTAGAAGCATATCCCATATATTATGGTACTGTTGAAATAAATTGATCAACTCAGAAATCCTGCTTTGTTCCAATGCCAAACATGAGATATTCTGGAGTCAGTTTTAATATTACATTCACTGCATTTGAAGAGGCCAGTAATTGGAGACATCAAGTTGTCTCCTCAGTTCTCCAGTATTAGATCTTAATTTTAGGTTATGCTGAATGAAATGCAAGTTTGTTCATTGATGTTATCAGACTTTTAAAACTAGTCCAATGTAATACTTATAGGTGAGAAAAATATATACAGTTGCTATTGCCTTGGTATTTTCTAAAGGCCATACGATTAATGGCTACTACTACAACAGAAAACAACTTTGTAAATTAATCTTAAAATAAAAAGATTTACATTGTTGGGAAACAGTTTGAGTTAAACATTTTCCGGGAATATACTGATTTTTAGATATTTGAGCAGTGGGGGGTGGATTTTCTGTGGAGCTGAATAATTACATCTGCTTCTATATATTCAGTGGCTAAACTTATAGGATAAATGTGGTGGTGTATAAGTGCTCTTGAGCTCACCTTTCATTGATTTTTGAGGTAAATGTATAGATTGGGCTTAGACCTAAGACTAAACTTTCAAAAGCATTTTAGTGTTATAACTCATTTCATATATTCTGCCAACAGCTGTTTTGTGTGAAAGTCTTCTCCATCCTTTCTCTTCTATATCACTGAAAATTATTTCAATATTTATTTCCCAAAAGTGTACATAGAAAATCCATTTCCAGAGGTTTAAGTATAATGGCTTGTCTGTTTCTGGCAGTAAGTCCTTCTCAGGCATGGGATGAGATAAATCCAGGCAGGTCATTGCATTTCACAAAGTTAATGTTTATGGTAGATGGAAAGATAAAAAGCAACTGTAGAAAAAGTGGTAATTTTGTAGAATATTTTTAGTTAGACAGTAGTGAGCCAGAACATACAGTAAATATTTCTTCAGTATACAAAAAAAGCACAAAACAATCAGGAAAACATGTTGTTGGACGGTAGTATATTCATCATTTTCTTCAGTAAGTGAGGAAAAGTTTATACTTGGTGACACCTGTCTTTTTTCAACTGTGTCTTGCTGTGAAAGAAACTAATCCATTATATCACTTCGGTCGTGAGCTATTCAAACTTACCAATGAGTATAATAATAACTTGCTTCAAAACAGACATGTTTGCATCACAATCCTTATTAGTTTTCATATTAGGTTCAGCTACTTGACCTCTTAGTATGTATTTGTTTACTTAGCACAAGCTCTTAGACATGACTCAATCAGTTCATTCATTTTTTTGGGACAAAAATGAGACCATAAGATACAGAAAATATTTGCCCCTCAGAGTATACAAAAAGCCTTTTATAGATTTATATTCCAAGATATAAATTCTAGATGTTTTCTTCCTGATCTTTTGAGGCAAAATACAGGCTTTGCTTTAATAACAAGATATATTACACAGAGAACTACTGGGGGATTTTATTGCCATTCAGCAAAGTTGGCTTTTTACAATGATTTTGAGAAATAAACTGGAGATTATTAGATAACATGCTTACATTCTTTTCTTTCTTTCATCTGTATCATTTATAATTTTAAAGAAGGAAAAAATAAAACATAGATGACATTATCTTCCTCTCTTGCTTGTTTACATGAACTTAAGCAATTTTCATTCCTTCCAGCAATGTTTCCATTTCGCTGTGCAGATCATTAAAACAAGTCAGGTAGAAATATTGACCTTCATATATTTTTATTTTATTCAAGCACGTAAATTCTATAAAATAAAAAAACCCTCCATACTATCTTTGTTTTTATTTCATTTAGCATTTTCAGACCATGTTGAAGACTAAGCTAAATGTCTTAACTCTTCGGAAGGAACCACTTCCCACTGTAATCTTCCATGAGCCAGAAGCCATTGAGTTGTGCACCACAACTCCATTAATGAAGACTCGGACACATGCTGGATGCAAGGTATGTAATAACTGAAGCAACACATCTTCTCTGGCAATGTTCCACTTGAACAGAAGATAAATGAAAAGAGGACTCCAAATATTTATGCTTTCAGAATATATGAGCATCAATTGATAAAACTGGCATGTTATTAATATCCAAGGGAAAAAAATCTGAGGAAAATATTTCGTTAGACTCCATTCCATGTTTTCTGGACTTGTTAAAACATATTCCATATATACATATTGCTCATTCTTTGTTTATAATTCTGTTTGGTCAAATTAAATTTTTATTACTGATATTTTTTTTCCCTTTGAGTCAGTTTTTTGACTCTTGGTGATTGTCTGTTCAAGTTGCTGCAGTTTTCTTGGTAACATTTTTTGAAAGTGATTTGCCATTGCCTTCTTCCCAGGGCTGAGAGAGAGTGACTGTCCTAAAGTAATCCAGCTTGTTTGTGCCTAAGGCAGGACTAGAATCCATGGCCTCCCAGTTTCTAGTCTAATATCTTAACCATTATACCAGACTAGCTTTCATTGACACATTAGGCAGCTGCAATTTTGAATATGTTGGTCCCTTAAATAGCATACAGTGACTTAGTTTCCAACTGATGTTGTAACCCAACTCCCATCATCCTTCAGTCAGCATGGTTGTTGACTGAAGGAACTGAAGAGCAAAATGTCTGATGAAGACCAGATTATGGGAGATTTATCTCAAAACATTCTTAAACAAATAAAAATAATCGAATAGACATTCCATACAAATGTGACAGGTAAAAACATGCTTTTGTTGAAAAACAGCGTCATCTGTTGGACGTGAAAGCAACACACGCTTTTACCAGTCTGAGCCACAGCAACGCATGGCCAGGTACAGCTAGTAAATAAATAAAAATACTGTGATGGATTGCAGAATACATAGTATATATAAGATACACGATTTATTTCCTGAGTTCTATGATGGATATCAATGAATAGTGGGACTACAAATGATGCCTCCTGCCTGTGTCCCTTGAGAATTACGCTGAATCAAAGAAAAAGTGCTGGACTATGTGGATTGCCTTCATATATGACAGTTTCTTTACCTAATTTTAGTTTAATTGAGATTTTGTGTAATTGCTTCCAAATAGCAAAATGCAATCATTTGAAATACCGTGTGAGCCTTTGCATCTGTAGATCCCGTTCTGCTCATAGAAAACTGTAACTCATAGTTTTGTTGTGGATGTCCCTTTAGATAGTTTGTGCCTCCAAATTTTTACTCAATCTTGTCAATGTTGTGTTTGATTTTTTTGTCATGAAGTTTTATTAAGCCTATTCAGTAACAGGCAAAGCTATTTGTGTGTTATATAGTAATGTTTTTAAATATCAGTTAACTTTTTAGAGAAAAAAAAACAACTATGGAAGAAGGAAAGGATTTTTCTGTAATTTTAATAATAATAAATCTTAATAGTATCTTTCAAGAAATTACGATCTTGGGCAGCTGACAGTCTATGTCTTAAACAGTTAATTAAATATAATTTGGCAGCATGGGCTATCTTTATGGAGATATATGACCATTTTTAGTCAAACATAGAAAAGAACAAAATGAGACGTTTACCATATTTTTACAAGTGGTTAATCTTCCACTTCTGTGAGCATCTTCCTTTTTATCAGGCTTTGAAATATGGCATGCCATGCCTGTAGATGACAGCCATTTTGATGCAATGATTAAGGCACAAGTCTAGAAACCACGAGACTGTGGGTTTAGTTCCACCTTAGGCACAAAGCCAACTGTCTTTTAGCCCTATGAAGCAGGCAAACCACTTCTGAAAAACCTTGCCCAAAAAACTATAGAGACTAGACTAGGCAGTCACCAAGAGTCAACACTGACTCAAAAGCAGAAAGAAGAAAAGGAAGGAAGGGCTTTTAAACAACCACAGGATATATCCTTAGTCTTATATAATTTTCTTCATGTAATTGTTTATTACATTTAGCAAATTCTGGCACAATTTTCATATCATAGAATTCTTTGGACAGGCCAAATCTGGGTTTGCTGCCTCAAATGGCAGCACTTGCTGAACATAGATGGGTAAGTTTATTCTTACATTTAGTAATCTGAATACAAAAATAATTTATTTTGATGATGGCAACAGTTGATTGTGCAAAAATGGGTACTTGCTAGAATATGAAAGGAAAAGGTAGGATGGTGAAAGCAAATAGAGGATGTGGTGGTAAGGCCAAGAGGAAGAAGAGGTTAGGAGAGAAATTGAGTCTAGTTCTTTGCTGATGTAGTTTGATAGTAACTTTCAGTTCTTGGAAAATCACAGCACCCCATTTACAATGGGTCACATGTTACATGGTTTCACTTCTGCTTTGAAAGAGTCCCAAGCCTTAAAGGTTCCCCCATAATACATTTATTGAGGTGGTGGTCATTTACCTCTAACACATAAGGTTGCATTCATATTCTCATCACCACAAGCATTTGAATGATTACTTATTTATTGTGCATTCTCTGTTTTTGGTGGTTTTGTTTATGGATCTGTATTATGCTATTTTCTTTTACTGTTCATATTTTATGATATGTTAGTATGCTGTTTATCACTGCAAGTCCACAAGGATTTGGCAGCATACAAAGTTAATTAATAATTTTATCTATTTGTGTATGGTGTTTAATATATAAATCATCATAATACTCATATTCTGAAGAAGATAAATGGAGCAACATTTATGTGAAAATCTCTAATTTAGCAACAGTTATTTTACTGAAAATAATAGGATGAACAAAGTATAATAACATGAAGCTGTGAACTGTAAATTATGGCGGTAAATGAAAAATCAAAGCATTTTTCCCTGCCAGGTTTTCTTTTTTTAACATGTAATAAAAATTATAATAATTTTGTATAATAGAAAATAAATAGTTTATTAATTATTCAGTAAAACATTCAATCTATAATCAGATATTTGTAGATTGGTAATTTAGATCATAGATTACATCCTAAATTCATAGTTGGAACAATAAACCAGACTGTTTAATGTAAATTGGCCCCTTACAATGTGAGCATCGCCCATAGGCCTGAGCAGACCCTAAAAACCAAGATCATGGACTCCAAAGAGCCGCTCCCCGACGATCAAAGATTGTCTGCAGTTTATAGAATTAATTGCAAGAACTGTGCGAGCAATTACGTTGGGGAAACAACTAAAAGGCTCAGGACTAGAATCCATGAACATAAATTGGCAAATAAAAGGTGGGAGCAGCGCTCACAAGTGTGGGCCCATAGGGCCAGCTTTGGCCATACGTTTGATCTGGCCAATGCGGAGGTTATATCCTGTGAGACCACCAAGGGTGGCCGCTTGCTCAAAGAAGCCTGGCTCTCCGATGAGAATTCCATCAACCAGCATATAGACCTCCTACCAGCCTATCAGACCCTCAGAAGGTGGGAGAGACAGCACTGCGATCCACGGAGGAGACATCTAGCCTGTCCTTCGCAGGATCGGGTGGCAAAATGATCAATGAGACAGCAACGATCTCTAGAAAAGACGATGACCCGGTTAAAGGGGAGAGAAACCAGGGATTTAAACAACGGGACAGCTCCTTGCACGATTGGGGCAATAGGTCTACAGGTGAGGCGGCTATGACTTCCATGGGAGGAGATGACGGACCAATGGTGCGCCACGGCTGTGAGCTGGGGATAGACGCGTAGAGGTGATCTGGAATGAGGCGGAGAGCAGGAATGCCTGAACAGCCATCCTTCGCAGGATTGGGGTCGGGGAGTTACGGCCGGGATAACAGTGGCCTTGGGGGTGGGAGAGGATGATGGGCCAACAGTGTACCCGAATTGCAGTTTGAGAAACAACATCCGAGATCGCCCCAAAATAGGGGAAGGAGACAAGGCACAGAAATGTTTGGACAGCTGCCCCCCCGGGCGCTTGTACGCGCGCCAGAAGAGTGATTGAGGATCGGAGAACAACCATCAGGGACAGGGACAGGTTTCCAGATGCAGAGCAACTCGATGCATTGTGGATGAGCACAATCAACGGGCCGATGATGCACTCGAGAAGCCGGGCGCAGAGGCAGGCCGTTACATAAACTAGTTCCCAGATCTACTTTCATTCCAACTCTGACGACGTCAGCAGTCTGGCCGATGAAAGCTTAGTGACTTTTTAACTACAGGCTTGTTTACATTAAACAGTCTGGTTTATTGTATCCTAGTGTTCATTTTTCTTTCTTTCAATTTGGTTTATATATATAAATAAAATGTAGAAAAAACGAACACCAGGATAAAAATAAAACAAACCTGTTTAATATAAACAAGTTTGTAAGTAAAAGAATTACCAAGCTTTCATCGGCCTGACTGCCGACATCATCAGGGTTGGAATGCTAGGTGATTAGGAAGCTTGCCTATATAGCTACCTGTCTCTGCGCCCGGCTTCTCGAGTGCATAATCGGCCCATTAGTTGTATTACTCTGGAACGTGCTAAGTTGATTCACATCCGGCAGCCTGTTGGTGGACCCGGTGGTTATGTCCAGATCCTCCATTACTTTTCTAGCGCACGTGTAAGTGCCTGGGGGATGGCTGTCAAGCTGTCTCTGCCCCCTATCTATCCTCCCCTCTCTCATTTTGGAGCGATCTCTCAAACTGCATTTCAAACGCTCTGTAGGGCTGTCATCTTCCCCTATGGCTGCTGTTGTCTCGCCTGTAGCTCTCTCTCCCCAATCCTGCAAGGAGCAGCTGTTAAGATCTTCCTGCTCACTATTCTCCCCCCCTTTTGTCTCTCCTTCCGAGCTGCTTCCGTGTGTCCGTTTTCCACACCTGATCTTGACACATCGTTAGTTTCTTGTCCCCTTCCATAGCAGCTGTTACTGCCTCACCCATAGCCCTGTCACTCCAGTCTTGCCTGTTGCTATCTCATTGTAATGTTCCCTGCCCCCTCTCTCCTTTTTCCGGTTTGCTGTCTTCCCTAGGGATCACAGTTTCCCCATTTGTAAAATCATGATCTTGCTTTTGTACCATGAAGGGTGGCCATCTACTCTGTGGATTGCAAAGTTGA